TTGGAAAGATTATTTCTTGTCGTCAAATACTAAAATATGATATTAACTAAAGATGCAAAGCAAGGTTCACAATTATTACATAATATTATACGTACCAACAATCAATAAAAAAGCAGTACTTATAAGATTATTACAACCAATCGATGAATAGTAGAAGATGCACTTTCGAAGAAAAAGGATTAAAAACAAAACAAGTAAAATTTCGAACGTTTCAAACTAGAATCAGATAGGACGTTCAATCCTTCCGTCATCTCGTCCAAAACAAAAGTGTCTTGTTCATGGCAATTCTCGGCTAGGACGCTTTTTTAAAAAATTATAAGCAATCGCGAATGTTTCAGCGATCAGACATTTGCAGCGTCTTTCGAATCAATCGCAGCTTCCCTCGTGGCAGCAATTTCGATCGGATCGGACCGGTCTCGAATCAGTGGCCCGTTGTGTTCGCGGCAGGAATTCCTCGCAGGAGAATTCATTATGTTTTACGCCGGTCGTAAAGCGTGGGTCGCGGATCGGCGCGGCGCGGCGGGGCGGGACGGGGCGCGGCAGGCGACGCAGCGGAATCTAAACTCCGCGTTATCGCGCGGCTTAATGAAATTAATGGCCGCGACTTTTACGACCGTTTTCCAGGAGCGGGCACGATGGTGCAGTCGTTGAACGTTTACGAGCTGGACAAGTCCGTGGAGGTATTGAAGGAGGGCTGTTTCCCGCCGGACTCGCAGATCAGACACCTGCAGATCTCGCACTCGTCGTTGCGGGAGATCAGCGAGAACGCGTTCCGCAACTTGAACGAAAGCTTGGAGTCGTTGGCCCTGGTGTCGAGCCGTTTGCCGCACGTGCCGCAGATCTCGTTGGCGAATCTGCCGATGCTGGCCGGCCTGGACCTGGAAGCGAACCTGATCCAGGAGCTGAGCTCGTACTGCTTCTACGGATTGAAGCTGCTCAAGCTGACGTTGAAGGGCAACCAGATATCGAAGATCTCCGAGTACTCGTTCGCCGGCCTGGAGAACACGTTGAGCGACTTGAACCTGGCCGAGAACAAGCTGAACATGTTCCCAATGACGCCTCTACGCAGGCTAGAGAGCCTGGGGATTCTGACGCTGGCTTGGAACGAGATCTCCGAGCTGCCGGACGACAGGTACAGTCAGCTGAGGTCGCTGATCATGCTCGACCTGAGCAGCAACAACTTCGAGAAGCTGCCCGAGGACTGCTTCAGGCCGTTCCCTATTCTACAGACTCTGTTCCTCTATTACAACTCGATCGAGACGATCCACAAGGACGCGTTCGTCTCGTTGAAGGACCTCGAGTACATCGACCTCAGCCGGAACAAGATCGTGTTCCTCGACGTGGCGACCTTCAGGGAGAACAAACGGCTGAGCAACGTCGAGCTCAGCCACAATCATATTCACAACATCGGCGGGGTGTTCGCGAGGCTGCCCAAGCTCCGCGAGCTCTACCTGGCGGAGAACAACATCCTGGAGATCCCGGGCGAAGCGTTCATCGGCAGCGTCAGCCTGGCAGTGGTCTATCTGCAGCAGAACGCCATCCGGAGGATCGACGGCAAGGGCCTGGCGACGTTGACGCAGCTGGCCCAGCTGCATCTCAGCAACAACTACATCGAGAACGTGCCCAGGGAGTTCCTCGAGCACTGCAGGAACCTGTCCTCCCTGTCCCTCGACGGCAACAAGATCCGCGAGCTGCAACCTGGCACCTTCTTCAAGCTGCACCAGCTGAGAGAGCTCAGGTTGCAGGACAACCGCATCACCGAGGTGAAACGCGGCGTGTTCTCGCCGTTGCCGGCCCTGCTGGAGCTTCATTTACAGAACAACGCTATCACGAACATGGAGACAGGCGCACTCAAGACCCTGAGCAGCCTCCAACACGTGAATCTGCAGGGGAACCAGCTGACGGAGCTGGGCGACGTCTTCCAGCTGTCCGCCTCGGAGTCGTCTGCCGGTGGAAGCTCTTTGGTGTCCATCCAGCTGGACAGCAACGGCCTAGCCGTGCTGCACAACGATTCTCTGAGGGGCCAGGCTTCCGTCAGGATCATGTGGCTAGGCCACAACAGGCTCACCTATCTCCAGGCACCTTTGTTCCGGGACCTGCTTCTCGTAGAGCGACTCTACCTGACCAACAACACCATCTCCAGGATAGAGGACGGCGCCTTCCAGCCGATGCAGGCGCTCAAGTTCCTCGAGCTCAGCATGAACAAGCTCAGCCACATCACGGCCAGGACCTTCTCCGAGCTGCACGAGCTCGAGGAGCTCTATCTCCAAGACAACGGATTGAAGAGGCTGGATCCGTATGCTCTGACCGCTCTGAAGAAGCTGAAGGTGCTCGACCTGGCCAACAACCAGCTGACCGTCCTCCAGAACGCCATCTTCCAGGAGGGGCTGCCCATCAAGACGCTGAACCTGAAGAACTGCTCCATCGCCAGCATCGAGAGCGGCGCTTTCCGCGGCCTCACCAATCTGACCGAGCTCAATTTGAACGACAACCTGCTCACAGCTTCTGCTCTCTTGAATCTTCATGTTCCCGAGCTGCGCAAGCTGGCGGCGTCCGGCAACAACTTCAGCGAGATCTCGGAGCGCAGCCTGAACGGGCTGCCGTCGCTGCAGGAGCTTCTGTTGGACGACGCTCAAATTTCCCAGCTGCCCGAAGACATCTTCGTACTGAACCGCAACCTGGCCAAGCTGAATCTCAGCAGGAACGAGATCAGGAGCCTTCCGCCGGGCATCTTCGACAGGTTGAAGTCGCTGAAGGAGATCCGGATGGACCACAACAGGTTCCAGAATATCTCTTACTCGGCGCTGGCGAACGCTCTCAACTTGGAGATCCTCATGCTGTCGAACAACGAGATCGCGAACGTCGACGTGGCCAGTTTCGCCAGCCTGAAGTACCTGAAGGAGCTGGACCTCAGCCACAACCGCATCGAGAAGCTGTCCGGCTTCGCCTCGGCCAACCTGTCCCGTCTGGTCTCCGTCGACCTCAGTCACAACAACTTGAACGCCCTGCCGGCTAATTTCTTCGTTCACTCGTCCATGCTGCGCAAGGTCGACCTGTCCGAGAACAAGTTCAGGAAGATCCCGGCCGTCGGCTTGTCCGGCAAGAATCTACCCAGCCTGACCTGGCTGTTCCTGACCAAGAACCCGCTAGAAACGATCCGCGATCTCTCATCCGACGACATGTACCCGATCTTGCAAGAGGTTCATATTTCCGGAACGAACTTGACCATCGTCACGTCGCAGGACTTCGAGGCTTTCCCGGCTCTGCTGCACCTCTATCTGGACCAGAACAGCATCCTCAGGATCTCGCCGGGTGCCTTCAAACGTCTGCCGAATCTGCTCACTCTGCATCTCGGCATGAACAGCTTGGAGAACAGCTTGCCGAAGGAGAGGCTCCAAGGTATGGAGCATCTGAGGATCCTCAACCTGACGCACAATCGGCTGAAGGAACTCGAAGAGTTCCCCAAAGACCTCAAGTCCCTGCAGATACTGGACCTCTCGTTCAATCAGATCGGGATCGTCGACAGGGTCACGTTCAACAATCTGGTCAGCTTAGTGGAGCTGCATCTTTACGGGAATTTTATCAAGGCGATCTTCAGCGACGCCTTCAAGTCTCTGAAGAAGCTGCGAGTCCTGGATCTCAGCAGGAACTATCTGGAGAACCTACCGCTGAATGTCTTTCGACCCCTGGAGACGCAGATACGGAGCTTGCGCGCTGAGGGTAAGGATTGATTAAGTATAGTGATTTTTTTTCAGACATGGTCGGGTGCAGGGTGGAGAGGCAATTGAAACCGGCAGATTTGAGAATACTAAGTCGCGATTCTTCGGGCACCGCGGCTCGTTTTTAGAGAAATTCGGAAGAAACTCTTTTATTTCGAAATTTTTCGCCACGATTCGAAGGCAATTCGGAGGCCACGTGACGCGATTCGAAAGTAATTCAGAGGCCACGTGACACGATTCGATGGCAATTCGAAAGCAATTCGAAGGCAATTCGGAGGCAATTCGAAGGCAATTCGAAGGCCACGTGACACGATTCGAAGGCAATTCGAAGGCAATTCGGAAGCAATTCGAAGGCAATTCGAAGGGAATTCGGAGGCAATTTGGAGGCCACGTGATACGATTCGAAAATAATTCAGAGGCCACGTGACACGATTCGAAGGCAATTCGAAGGCAATTCAAAAGGAATTCGGAGGCAATTCGAAGGGAATTTGGAGGCAATTCGAAGGCCACGTGACACGATTCGAAAGCAATTCGAAAGCAATTCGGAGGTAATTCGGAGGCAATTGGAAGACAATTCTGATGTCACGTGACACGATTCGAAGGCAATTCGGAGGCCACGTGACGCGATTCGAAAGTAATTCAGAGGCCACGTGACACGATTCGATGGCAATTCGAAAGCAATTCGAAGGCAATTCGGAGGCAATTCGAAGGCAATTCGAAGGCCACGTGACACGATTCGAAGGCAATTCGAAGGCAATTCGGAAGCAATTCGAAGGCAATTCGAAGGGAATTCGGAGGCAATTTGGAGGCCACGTGATACGATTCGAAAATAATTCAGAGGCCACGTGACACGATTCGAAGGCAATTCGAAGGCAATTCAAAAGGAATTCGGAGGCAATTCGAAGGGAATTTGGAGGCAATTCGAAGGCCACGTGACACGATTCGAAAGCAATTCGAAAGCAATTCGGAGGTAATTCGGAGGCAATTGGAAGACAATTCTGATGTCACGTGACACGATTCGAAGGCAATTCGGAGGCAATTAGAAGGCAGTTCTGAGGCCACGATCCGAAGGCGATTCTGAGGCCACGATTCGAAGGCAATTCGGAGGCCACATGCCACGATGTGACCGATTTCATATTTTTCTCAACGTTACCGAAACTATTGAGTTGGCAACCAAGTTAAGAAAAAGAATGTTTTGTTCTACCAGAATCTATGTTTTGTGTTTTTGTTCGAGTTAACTTTTGTTAATTTTCAGATCCTTAAAACGGAATGTCGAGTTCAGAAAGATGAGCATTTCTAACACCTTCTTCCTTTTGCTTTTAATCAAGGTTCCAAGGTCGCGAAAGCTGCTCGCGACATTTGTGCTGCGTAGGGTGCACCTATGCACATATGCGCAGCTATGAATGCGGATCTCAGAGATTTAATCGGTCAATATTCGTCGCCGTGTCTTCGTTCGTCGAAAGCTTAGAATGGTAGAATCGCCTAAAAGCCTAGAAGAATCATGGAGACTCTTCTCGTGCAAACCTGAGCTAAAAAAACTGCAAGCTTGCATAAATAAAGAGTATTATGGATCACGTTTGAGTCACGTCTTCACCATCGAACGAATTCCTTCGATTTTGAATGTCACTTGGAATCGCGATCACGTGTACAAAGTTATCCTAAGCTCTCCTCGAGCCGCGCAACAGCGTCGAATCGGAGGAACTCGTGAACAGAACTCGGTGTCTGTTACCGTGAATAAATTCGTTCTAGATCGCAGGGAATCATTGTGTCACCTATTTCAGCCGCGAACCGTTTCACCGAAACGAGCCGGAAACGTGTAAAATTGGCTGCCGGTTTTTGAACAAACGGCATCATGTCCACGCGCGTCCATCGGAGAGTTTGTCAGGAAATATGTAAAATCCGAAAATATGTAAAACCATTCGGAGACAGGACCGCGCGGCCACTTTCTGCAGGGTTTCCATTAAGTTCGCGAATCTTTTAGGACCGATTAGGTGCGGCAGCTGGCCGGAGTTACGGTTCCGTCAGGGACTAGTTTGCAGACTTCGAGGGGATAGGATGAGACGGAATGGCGGAGCGTGTTTGATTGTGCCGATGTTGAGTATCGATTCGGGACGATTGTACGTGACCAGCGATATGATTGGATTTCCAGCAGTAGTAACTCCATTTGGATCGATAGCTCCGATACGGTATACTGTTATTCTCTCTGGCTCGCGTGCCCCTTGAATAAAAGCCGCGCGAGCAAATGAAACATTGATACTGCATCAATCAAACCGCCCTATCCCCTTTCCGCTGCGTTTTGCAGCGCTTTCCGACCGATATTCACGGTCTCTCTGCCAATTTATTAGGCGGCGCTGCGAGTCTTCCAGCTAACAACCTCGTGCACAGAATCTTCGACTAGGAAAACTCTGTAGGGAACGGTCGCGATTCGGAAAGAACGTCACCGCATGCTGTTTCACCATTGTCGAGCGTAAAATAACAATAATTGTTACGCGTTTTAATGTTAAACTCACCGTGCGTTAATTGTGATCGACGCAAATGATTTTCATTGTAACCGATGCTTGAATTATGAAAGTTATTCGATCATTTGTTACAAAAGCGTCGTTATATTGGGGTTTTTTTAAATTTTAATATTTCGCGTGTTATTCAATGTTTTTGGCATAATGTTTTAAATCGTTCGAAATGTTTTGGGGATGTTTTGTTCTATCGGAATCTATGCTTTTTTTTTTTTTTGTTTGAGTTAATTTATGTTAATTTTTTCAGATCATTCAAATGGAATGTCAAGTTGAGAAGTTGAAAATTAACAAAAGTTAACACGAGCAATGTTAATTTCTACACTGTAAACTCAAACAGTGTAAATTATATTAATTTTCAGATCATTAAAATGGAACTTCAGATTGAGAAGAATTGAAAATTAACAAAAGTGTTCACACGAACAATGTCAATTATGTTAATTTTAAGATCATCAAATTCGAATATCAAGTTGACAAATTGAAAATGAACAGAAGTTAACTCGAACAAAAAAAAAAACATACATAGGTTCCGGTGTAGAACAAAACCTCCTCTTTCGAACGATCTAAAAAATCGTGCCAAAAACATTTAATTGACACGCGGCATATTAACACGTTCCGTGCCGAGCTTTTTTACTCGAATCTTCACACTTTGATATTTTACTAAAACTTGATGTGTTACGTGCAATTATTAATTCTCGTACACATAACAACGTAACAAAAACTTATCAACGCCCATTCTTGCGGTGGAAATTGATTCTTCGGTTCTAAATTTCTTGTAAACAATTTGTTCAGTTCACTAAGTAAACATGCAAGCGTGTACCATCGATGGTA